CCTCACTTCTTGCATCTGAAGAAGTGAGGTTCTTACCCACGAAAGCTTATGCTCCCAGTACTTCTGTTAGTCTCAAAGGTGCCACAGGACCCTCTGTTGCTTTATACATGCACAGTTTGGCAATTAAATATAGTATGTGAAAGACTTAGGTATCAAACAGAAAGAAAACATCCCCAGTGTTCCAAGGGGATACAGCTCAGTGTGGAAGATGAAATTGAACAAAGAAAAATCTAGATTAAATATCAGCACTAATTCCTCAAGCATCAGGTTTATTAGACTGTAGAACTATTTTCCAAGAGTAGAAATGGAAACCCTAGCACCTGACACATTTAAGCTACACTAAGCACTCTACATTTAGTGTAAGGAACAATTCTGGACTGTCACCTTGGGATGGACAAAATAGACCTTTTAGGTTATCTTGCTTTCGTGTACTCAGTCCCAAGGTCAGTGATGCTAAGGTGCTTAGGCTCCAACAGAAGGGGTCAACCCTATTGTACTATCTGTACAGCTCCTGCTACCTAGTTTGAATCGCAGTAGCCTGGCAGGGGACTGCAGACCTTTGGAAGAGTGGGCTAACAAGCGTTATTAGAAGAGGTGAGGAATATAGAGTGAAACTGGGTTCCTCAGAATGCATGGACTCACCCACTGAACTCCCCGCCTGTATTGCCTCAGATGTGGGCGTCCAGAGAGGCAACGTACAAATGGGTATTGGAAAACTCTACCACCAGAACAAGGAAGGAAGTTCACTTTGTAACACTGAATGCAACTCTTGAGATTCAGCAGAAGAAATGATTTTAAAACTACATCTATAAATCATTACAGTCTGTCATGGGAGCACTTGATTAAGTATCTTCCTTGTATAATTATTTGTTACATAGCCACACATGACTGCACTTCTACAAAGAATGACAGACTCAATAAAATGGATTAAAAATAGCCCAGTTTGCACCATTACTGCATAGCAGTATCGTGAAGTGTAAATGATCTAAGAACAACCTCTTTTAAAAACTTCTTAACCCTCTTAATACTTAGCTTGTGTAGAACTATGAACATTTCAGTGTATAGTTGGTACATTCTGTTAATCAAATCTGAGATTAAAGATTTGTTCAAGATTTGATTCCTGATTTGTAGAATTGAATCTGATGTTTACAGAACTATATGCCCAATCCTCTGAACATTAACAGATGTAGTGCTCACAAGTGCAAGTCACTCCTTTGCTGTCATAGTAGTAAGCTCAATGGGCTGGTTCAAGCAAGCATTCCCCTTCAGGACAACACTTGAGTGCTTTCCAGAATTAGGGCCTTCAGCTGGTTCACAGGATCAGGCCTACCAGTATATTTAATAAAGAGTCTTAGCATTTCCTCCAAATAAAAGATCAGATTTTTAATATAGCCCTTGAAAAGAAAAAAATGTAACCTGATCTCAAACTCTCTACAGTACTGCAGGCCATACACAAACATACTTCTTCAACTAAGTAATCTACAAGATGAAATCTTTTTTTAGTGGATGATAGCTATATATGAACTCTCAAATAAGAACATTTAAAGATAATGGGTAGGATTTTCATCAGAGCCTAAGGGAGTTAGATGGCCAACACCCACTGAATTCCATTAAGACACAACCAGAGTAATAGGAGATCACTCACTGGCTATCCGTTTCTAGATTGTGGGATTTTATTTATTTTTTTAAATGGGGCGGAATATTATTGTTTTAATCCTCTGCATTGCAGGAGAACTCTGTTTTTAAGACATTAAAGAGGCTCCTTATCAAAACAATCAATTCAATAGGCTACTTAAAAGTCCATATGCCATTTAAATTTAAAAATTTATAATACTATTTGTAGTTAAAGCAGGTATTGAAGAAAAGCTTTGCTTAGATGAATATCTAGATTAATCAAAGATTTTACTGGGTGCTTTCTGAATTAAGACCCCGCCCTTCCACAAATATTTTAAATAAGAGGAAAAAGATGGTTTAAACAGGGTTTTTTTTGTGTGTGCTGGTGGTGGGAAGATAGGTGGATGATGGAAAAGATAAAGTTTCAAAGATTGCACAAGGTGAGTATGATACACAGAAAATAAATACGCTGATGCAATATTACCCACGTGTTTTGTTTTGTTTTACCTTAACTTGGACAATGAGTGTATAACTCTTTGAATGCTGGCATTTCCCAAATGAACACTTAGTATGATATTAGATAACATTCGCCACAGTACATAAAAATAAGACAACCAAAAAGAATTACCACCACTGAGGCTTGCAACATAAATCGATAACATTGATAATCTAACACAAATTTTATTGGAAACAAAATTATTCTAAGCACTTCCCCAGACTGTAAGTGAAAGTTACTGAA